TTCATCATCGAAGGTTTGGGTTAGGCCATTTCTTCGTGCACCTTCTTCCCAGAAAAGCGCATTTGTCAGCCAGGATACGCTCTGTCGGCTAAGTTCGTTGGTAGCGGAATCCTGGCATCTGCACTCAGCAGAACCTGGCTGCAAGCCAACGTGGGATGTCTTGGAACATCTTGGTCTGAGTGGCGCTTATTCTGCTACTGGTTGGCGCAGATCATGCTACAATCAAGACATGAAATACATGAACACGACTCCACTTCCATCTTCTTCCTGCCTGTGAGCATCGCTCTTGGCCCAGGTGTCCTTTGAGAGCAGTCACGAACAAAACCTTCTGTGACCAATGTAGCTTGGAGCGGTCTCCTTGACACGAGAAGCGGAGGCTCACTTTCGTGCTCGGATTGTTGATGTACAGCTGATACCTGTGATACCGGCAATTGCAATTGGCTGGGCTTCAGCCTCACTTTTCATTCCCTGCGAGTTTGGCAGTGTGATGCTGAATAAGACTGCATGTGGTCCAGAAAACGGATACAAATTCGAAAAGCATGAAGGCAAAACGCACGGCAGCCTGATGCTGTGTTCTCCACGCGAACAAAGCTGTCCTGAGGCTTTTCGAGGAATCTCGGCGCCGAATGCAAGAACCAGCAGGCAACAGACAACAGCAGAAGAATCGTAAGTGCTTGACCGACACAGCTCTCGACGACGAGTCCGGGGAGCAACAGTTCACGCGTTCTCCTCAAAAACATCGGCGTCAGTGCATGTGAGTCTCCCCTTGTAGGACTACGAGGTCCTGTCCACTGCTGTTACCACATAGTCTGCCTCCCAGCCTGGGATGATTTGCTGATAAAACGACAAGGGCAAAACCGGGCACGACGAAGCCAAAAGTGTCTTAGCCCAGCTCCACGCGTCTTGCTTGCAACACGAAGTAGGATCAAACAGTGGAACGCTTCACCACATGCCTGAGGCATCACTAGACTTCATTAGAAGCTGGCAAGCTAACGCGGAAGCAATGACGAAGGGCCTTGTGCATGCCGCGGCAGGTATATATCTGCGATGAACCCTTGCTCAGGTCAGAGTCTGCTGGATGCAGGGCCTCAGGAACATGAATACCCTTTCATTCACACAACCTTGTCAACACGCAATCCGAAAAACGAGCCTTCAAGGCGTCTTGCAGGAAATTCCTTGCGTCAGGGAAATAGGCTGAAATATGAAATATACTTCAGATCGCTTTCATCGCTGCGTCCCATTCTGAACATCGTGCAGGGGCTGATGCAGCCAAATTATGGGCAACGGCAAATGACTAACTCCCACAGAGTGTTTCGTACAGTACCTCTCGATCCAGCCTCTTCTTCTCGGCAGAGTGAACCGCTGGGACGGCCTCAGAACCAGCAGCCATGATGTTCCGGCAGCTTCAGCATTGGGCGTGAACTGCAAGTATTCTAAGGGCTTGACATGACACGCGCAGTCAACCGAAATCTCACCCGACAAGGTCATGACTTCCACCTCGACATGTCGCTCCGTACTCGCTGTCCCTCACTCACTTTCCCCCCCTTGTGAAATTCCTTCTCGTTCCATCCTTCTTTTCCTCTCTTTAACTCTGGGTCCGGAGTTCATGCTGCCGTCATTTCATCATTTCATCATTGTTTGTCGCCGGCGTTTTCTGAGGTGCGGCGCCTCCGCTGTGCCATCATGTTGGCTCGAGCGGGGCCGCCCGTGATACTCCGCTCTACTTCTGGTGCCTTGTGCGGCTTTATTCTTCCGCTGAATGCCCTTTGCAACCTTTGCACGCCGGAATCTAGTGCGGTGCTTTGTCTCGTAGCATGTGCTGCAGATTGGAAAACCTCACCAGCTGTTTCCGCACCTAGCGCCTGTCGACTATCACCTGCGCTGAGTTGTCTTGGTGCAATTGCTAGGTCTGCTAGGTGTGCGGGGCAGACAATGACAGGTACTATCTGGTAGTACTTTCAGATAGTACCACTCTCGCACATGGCCACGGGTTGTGTACGGTGGTATGTTGTTTCTCCAGTGCGCCGTTGGGTCAGAGCACGTTCCTGCAGACAATGCCGATCGGTTTGCTGTTCCCGATCAGGAGTGGGAAGTTGTGGGAGCGACGACGTGGTAATTCTACCACGCGCATGCCTGGCCGGTACTGGCCGGCTCGGTGAGTTGGTGGCTGAAAAAGGGGCGAGGAAAAGCGGCCGACAACAAGAAGCTTCACAAAGGCGAAAGAGCTTTTGAACCTATTCACTGTGAACTCTGAACTCTGCGTGGATTTTTGCATTTTGGCAGCTTGAGTCACAATGGCCTCCTCTCTGGCTTGCTAGTTCTGCTGAAGACACAGCACTGGCCTGCAGAAACTCACGCGAAGCTGTTTCCTTGGGCGTCTGTATCTGGGAGGTGTAGCTGAAGAAGTTGGCACCTCATGCACAGAGGCACATAGCCGGTGAAGAGCTCGGACTTAAATCTTCCCTGACCCTGATCAGGCCCCTGAAGTGCCTAGACTCTGCGACGTGGTGGCGAAAACAGGCGCATCGAGCCTCAGGGCCTGTGCACATGCAAAAAGGCAAGGTCCCCAAAAGCAACCAAAGAAAAGTAGAGCGAGCCCACGGCCATCAGCTGTCCCAGATTCAGACCTGTGGCACTGCAGCTGGGCTTGTTGTTGAGGAATCTGAATGAGAAGATCAGAGGATGTCAACCTTGATTTGTGCGTGTCCGGCCTGGCGCAACCTGACCCCCCTTCCCAGTGATCACCTGTGCCTCAGTGGGGGGGTGGTGCTCCAAGATGATTGCAGTCTGCTCCAGATGAAGCTAAGGCAGATAAGGCCCCGTCTCGGACATCGAACTGCCAAAACAATTGAGGGTCTGGTGTGCGGCTGGCGACGTCTCACGTAAACCAGACTCCCAGCCTGACAAGCTTCTTGAGCTGACACCTCTCAAGGTCACGAAGGCTAGCAACAATCACTGTGGGCTGACCAGCGCAGTGGCATGGCTTCAGAACAAGCTGTGAAACGATCCTATCCTGCTCGGGTTGGACCGCCCGCAATCGCCGGTTCTGATGGAGAAGCCACTGGCATGACCATTGAGGCGCCTCCACCGACAGGAGACCCTTGTGCACATCACCGTGCCGGAGGATGGTTGACACAAACCTGCAGTTTCGCCGGTGAATCAGAGCATTCTGCAGCCGGAAACTATCCTATAGCTTGGATTGTACATGTTGCACATGGCCCCTATCGACTAAACTACCTGAGCTACTGAAAGGCGTGGGGCAGGGCACTTGGAGTCAGCAAAGCCCGACAGCACCCGACACGGAGCCGGGGCTGGGCCAAGGCTGTGGCCCCAGATGAGGATCCGTGGGGAGCACTTTGGTAATGCCAGACACTTGGGTCACCTCGAGCTCAGCAATGTGTCGGGGGCGCAACAAAAGCTGCAGTGTCGCTTGCATGATGTACATCAGTTGTACATCCATGGACATCCTGCAACAGCCAAGTGGCCTGGACATGGGGTCGACAGTCCGTCAATGGGCTCACGGTGATGGCAACATCGCTGTCATCCAAAATCCTGAACCCCAAGATACCCCAATGTCCCTCTGTCGCAAGCCATGTCGACAAGAAAGTGCAGCAATGAACCACAGTCAGCTCATCCTCAAATTGTAGCACGATTTCTCTGCAGCCGCAAGGTTGCCTCTCGATGGTACCCCCGCCTGGCGAAGCACATCTTGCCTTGTATCATCATGATAAGCACGGTATGCTGCGACAGCCTCCAGAAGCCCGCAGTTGAGATCATGCAGCGAAGCGCTGGCATTCTGCCTGTCGCAAGGAACCGACCGGCAGCGCGAAGCGATCAAACGGCCAAAGGCAGGACAGCCTAAGCTCGAAGGCGATGGTGCAAGTGGCGAGTGCCTCGCAGCACATATGTGCAAACATTTGGAGCCCTGCATGCCCTGCAGACGGAGTTGTGACAACCCTGCCCGTGTCAACACCCAAACGCAATGTTTCTGCAGCCCGACTTCCCGAAGCCTAGCGATCTTTCACAAGCCGGGGGCACTGTATAAACTAAACTAAATACATTTCCCGCTGGTGGCAAACATTCCCGTTTCCTCTCTTGCAAGCCTAAAACTCCCGCTCAAAGTCGAAAAGCAACTGCTGGCTGCCACATGCTCTCATGCGTTCCCTGCCTCATCTCCCTTCAAAATGACCAGGACCGCACAGTTCGCGATGCAAAGCTCCGACAACCTGAGTTGGGTCAGCTAAAGCACACAGAACAAGCAGTCCACAGCCACCCAACAGCCCCAGTGCAACTTCACTGCCCTCATAGAGATAGACAGCAGCATAGCCTTTTGCTCTTCAAATTGGCAGCATCTGTGGTTTTCTTGCCTAATTGAATCTATTAAAGAGCGATCGGCATCACAACAGCTGCAGCAACAAGGCTTCCGCGAAGGTCTTCTTGGAAAGGTAAAAGAGGGTGCATCAATCCGTTGGACAGACACCGCATAGGTCGCATTATGCCCATGTTCTGCTGCGAGGTTGTACTGGCTGTGCACGCTGGCAAGTTTCGCCAGCGCTCAGCATTCGTTTTCCCATGCAACGAAAGCAGAGTTGTCTCCAGGAACCACGGGGAAAAAAACTCATGCAGGAAACATGCTGTTCTCGAGGTGGTATACTGAGGAAGTTTTGGAGCACTTGATCAATGCCCGGTAGGCCGTCCTTATGTACATTGCGGCACGAATCCACAATCAGCGTCAGCTCATTCTCTGTCGGGCGAGATTGTGGATGCAAGCGCTAGGAAAGCTAGACTACAACTGGAGTGCCCAGGCAGGGACTCTGTTCAACTCCAGATGAATTCAAGACACATTGAAGTTCGCAAGAATTTCCGAAAATCGTCTGATGCTGCAACGACTCCTTCTTAGAACCCTCTGATTCTGCGATTCTTCTGCGCCAAGTCCAACGGAATCACCGACGCAAGGCTCTCACTGGAACACCTCAGAAAGCCGGTCATTTATGTCCGGTCTAGTGATATCGCTTCTCCAAGGCAGAGGCTCCGGTTGTCAGTTTGACAGGCGATGTTGGGGATGTTGGGGATGTTGGCGATGTTGGTGATACTCCTTTCATGACCAGGCGCCTTTTTGGGGGGCCTTCAAATTTGCCCCTTGCAACTGCGAGCATCTGCGCGCCACTGTCACGCGCCCAGCCTGCCGGTATGGGGCAGTGCAGCAGATCGCCAAAGTGGATTTTCTCGAGAAGCGAACGCAGATAAGAAGGCCACCTGAGTACCGCGCTGGCATTTTTAAGCGACTTGCTAAGCACGCGATGCTTTCCGGAACAGAATCGAGGTCGCCGACTTCTCGACTTCCCCGCGGCGTTTGTCTTTCAAGATAAGACGCAGAGTAGCAGTGGCCTGACAGAATCCGCCAGACGGCAAGTGTAGCACATGAGACCTCAAGACACTGGACAGCCTCGGTGACTTTCTCGATTCCGCCACTGCTTCGGAGCGCGTGGAACCATTGCTTCACCTGTGCACAGCGACTCAGAAGAGAATCTACATGTATGGTTGCATGTTCCTATCCGGGATCCGACTGATCTGCCTTGCCATTGAAGTCTTCGGGACGTAACACGTCAACGTCCCTCACGAGCTGTCTCACCTGGAGCTTTGCTTACTCTTTGCTTTGTGCAAATCTTCACGTGCTCTCGGCAGGACTCCGGTCTAGGACCACCCAGAGCTTCCTCGCATGGTAGCCTATATAAGTGAGCAATTACTGGTCTTGGGCACCAGGAAGCAGTCTTCATACGCGGCTGCAAAGCAATTGCGACTGACTGCGTGCCTCTGCTTCTACCTGCTGCTTCGCATCCTTCGGGGAAGGCGGCGCTTCAGGCTTCGGCACAGGCGGCGGAGGTGGTGGTGGCGGTATATGTTCCTGCGAGGGCCCACGAACATCGGTAAAGCGGCAAGGGGACAGAAACGGAAGTAGACAGCTGTGTGGAGCCTTGGGCAGAGGCTTGGCAACCTCTGCAGGCTCTGCAACGATTGCATCTTCTTTGCTCGACCACCCATTGCTTCCCTCGGATTGCGTGCACGCTGCTCACCAGCACATACACACATACGCACATGCTGGTATATAATGTAACGTAAGGTCAGGGAATGCATTTTGATGTCGTGTGAGATGTAGTGAAATGGATGCCTGCATGCATGCATGTCGGCATGTAGTTTGTCTCTCGATCTATACGTCTCTTTATATATACACACACATATAAATCTATACATATATATACATATACATATATATATATATGGTTTCCACTCAAGAAATTCGTGAGATCATACAGCTCATGTACAGAACCTCTTATACCTCATCATGGATTTACCTGCAGGGCTGCCTGACATACTAAGGCTTGGGCGTTCATGGCAAGACGGTGGTTTGCTGCCAGGTTCTCCTGCTTGAGAACTGGGTTTTCGGAAGATGTCAATGAGAAGGTGGCTTTGGGAACTGGGAAGAAGACTCGAGCCGAGTTTGGCCGTGAGTCTTGAAGGAACGGGGTTCTTGAGACACCGCGTTCGAAGGTTGAGCACTCGTACTGTGAACAACGGCAGTGTCAGAGAGGTTTGAGGGGACCATGCAAGAAGCTCCTCGAAAGACCACCCGGCGGCAAGCGTCTCACCTCCAAAAGTCTCCTCATTCCTGTGAGGCAGTTGTGGAGAGGCTAGTCAGGTTGGAAGGTTTATCAGGGGAGCCGTCCTGGAATCCGCACCGTTTTCTTTGTCCTCCCGCGATTCCATCTGCCACAGCCGGTACTCGTCCTCCGAGAACACGATGGGATCCGAAGTTCCTGCTTTTTGACATACTCCGCACGCGATACACTGCAAAAAACTGAACATATTTGTAAATGAAGAAATTCGCGCGGGGGGAGGGTCCTCTTTTGAGGCCCGATAATATGGTGGGCGCTCTGAACTCCAAATAAAAATTCAGTTCCGGTCCTAACCCCTCCACAGCAGTTCCCAAAGAGAGGCGGCCTTCGGTTCTTCTATTAGTCCACCCAGTTGCGAGAACGAGAGCTAAACCGTCTTGGAGTCCCCCCCTTTCTGAAAGAAGGGGGCCTCTTTTGCTGACAACTGCAACCTTTCATACGCATCCTCATCATCCTGAGGAGCAAAAGGGCAGAGAAGGGCAGAGCTACTTCGGGGATGGCCCAGCTTTTCAGGGCTCTCGAAGAAAGCAGCTCCCGAGAATCCCTTCGCATGAAGTAACTCTGTTAGTGCTCAGTACCTCAGGGCCATTTACATTTCGACGGTTGTGTTCCTTTTCCCTGACATGAAATAAACGGTCTAGACTAGAAATGCTTTCCCCTTCTAAGATCCGAGTAGCAAGTCAATAACAAGTGGTAGGTGAAAGTGGCATGCTTCATCAGCTCAATGCGGCTGTGCTAGTGGACAGATCGTTTCTTTGCATAGTGTTGCAGCAGATCATGGCCTTCTGCCCGTGTGCCACCCGAGATGTGGAGCATCGACAGGAGCTGCTGCCGCATCTCGGCTTTGCCGTGGCACGCGTGCACCTGGCATCGGCAGACCGGTGCCTCTGTTCTTCTGGCTTTGATTTGCAGTTTAACGGTGCACTAACCCAAGCCTGTGCCCTTCCGCCCAAAGCTATCCCAAGTTCGTGTTGCCTTCGCATGCGAGGCCGGAAAGAGGGCTACCTCCACGGACGGACCTTGACACGAGATCCAAGCGGACCGAAGCAAAAAACGGCTCGTTATGCTGGACTCAGGCTGCGGCGCGAACGAACGCGATGTTGCGAATGTAGTGCCCACCCTTTGGAAGTCTTCTCCTTGACACAAGGGGCCATCTTCGTGACCGGTCCGGTTGTGCTCGCTTTGGGTCCGGACCCAGACTTGAAGATGTTCCGCTGTGGCTCCTGCGGGCACGCAACAGAACAGCCGAAAGGGAAGCAGGCTTCTCCTTCCACGAATGGCGTTCCCTTGCTTCTACTCCGAAGTGGGGTAAGGACTGGAGGGACCTTGTAAAGGGAATGTGTTGGGAAGAGATTGGAAGAGGGAAGGGGCCGCCATTCATGCCACCAAGCGTGGTGGCAACGAAGCATAGCGAAGCATGGCGACACGCGAGTCCTTTAGCGGCCAGCAGATCCATGTTCTCAATGTGATTGTGGTCCAGGCGAAGCCACAGAGATGACTTCCCGCAAGGATGCCAATATGGAAGCCTGCAGCTGGAACGTCTTCAAAGTTTGAACTCGTGAAAGCTGTTTTCGTGAAAATATCACAGCACAGCATTTTCTGCACCGCCTTCGCCTGTCTTTGAGCTTCTCCAGAAATGTCCACACCTAAGAATCAACGGTCACGCTCTTGACAAAAAAACACAAGGTTCCGGAGGCCACGACGACCTCGCTGGACAGTCTTCCGCCCATCTCAGACCTTCGCAACATATTGAAAACGGCAAACAGATTGAACAAAAAAATTGAGTTCAAGCACGCAGTCCCGCAATTTGGGCTGCCACAAGTTCAGCTCCACAGCCTGGCCCTCGCAGACCCAATCCATTAACGCCTCTGCATCTGAAGATCAAGTAGGTTCGCTGAGTTGGGTAAAGTCAGTAAAAGTCAAAGGCCTTCAGGGAAGCATCACCACCGGAGGTCTCGGCCAGCTTTAGTGTCCGACAGTGTGGCCACCTCCTCGAAGATCATTCACAAATGGATCCCATGGACATCTTATGGCCATCGTGGTCTCTGCTTATTCAGGGCGATTCAAGACAAGCACCTCAGGAAGGGGGCCAAGTGGTTCGAGATGCCGAAGTCGGTGATGCCAGCATTGCAGGAGAGGTCAAGCTGATAGCCCTTGGCAGCTTCAGAGATTTATGCACAGCCGTAAGCCAAAGCACGCAAAGCACAAAAGAAGCCCGAGGGCCAGTCCATCCATCCCTCGCCAGCGGAGAACCGCTCTGCCATGTGACGGAGAAGAGATGGTAAATCTGACCAGAGAGCGTCCACATCTCATCCAGTAGCTGTGCCAAAGCAGAGAGAGGGAAAAGGTTTGCGGCAGCCGTGACACAGGCCCTTGCCAGGCGTAAACTACACGCAGACACAACAACGATAGCGTGCAGGAACGTCGTTCTGAGCAACAGATTCTAGCAAGTCTGTTTTTTATGAGAGTATATTGGGCATTGAAGCTGCCTACGCACAAGAAACTGAAACCGTTCGGGGCCCACAGCAAAAGCAGCAAACATGCAGAAGCAGAGCGGGCGATCGAATTGAAACAGCACCATCCCACCTCGGACTGCAACTACTGCTTGCAACATTAACAATGGTGATACTGATCAAGATAACGACACGATAGCGATGATAGTCTGGCAGTGATGCAGTGATGGCAACAATGATGATGATGATGATGATGATGATGATGATGATGATGATGATGGTGATGGTGATGGTGATGGTGGTGGTGGTGATGATGATGAGACGCGTGCCTTTAAGGTACTGCAGCGCTACAGATGTTTGACTTGCTGGAAATCAGGACTTGCCAGGGTTTTGCGGCCCACCCAGCGCCCCGGCTCAGGAGGCATAAAAAAACGAACCGACCCAGAGGGCAAGGAAAGGAACAGTTCCAACTTCAAAGTCGAAAAAATAGAAAACTGGGGCAGACTGTGCAGCTGCTGACGAACACCAGCGGTGAGAGAGCTTGATGTTTTGTCTGGCAGGGACAGCGGGTTTTACTTGTCTGTTTGGCGCCATCTCCTCTGCTCTCCGGCAGGGGCCCGTAATTACTCAGACCAGCGTACGCGATTTCACACTCAGTCCACATCAGCAAACACTTTGACTTTGCCTGCATCGGAGACGCTACGTCCGTACAGCTGGACATCCATGATTGCACAATCAGGATAGTCCACATAGATAAAGTTGCCCCACCTGAGCTGCACTGCAGTCTTCATGGAGCCGGCTGAAGCTACTGCATACACGTAGCACACGTAGTCTAAAATATAAACTTGTGCCGAAGAACCTCCGCCATTCCTTCCACGATGCCATGGCTTTGGATAGTCAAATGTCAAGTCAAGTTACGCAGTATGTACACACAGCCACACAGCTGCAGACACAACAGTCAAGTCGCATGCACAAAACTGCTTGCACATGCTTCGGCCTCGGAATCATGCAGATAACTCTCTGTTACTTGTCAAGTGCTTGGCCTTGTCGGCTCGAGAACGAGGCTCCACACCTCGGACACGTTTGACATATTATGGATCTCCAGCTATCCAAGAACTGAACCGCAGCAAAGACTGATGCTCAGAGGAGCACGGGCGGATAGACAGGTTTGCTGTGGCTTCCTGAAGCCCTGTCTTGAGCTACTGTCAGGTCTGGGAGGTCCTGGCTCCAGCAAAGAAGGTGGCAGCCAGGTCAACCTGATGCAAGCCAAGGCGACATTCTACGAAGCGCAGAGCCCTCCCGGCCTCAATCAGCTTTGAGGCATTGGGATGCTTGGCTTCTGCCAAAGGCATGACCTGCGGCAGATGACAAGACACGCGAAACCAACATGCAACATATGCCGGACAGAGAAAGTAAGAGAGGCTGCAGAAAGGAGGGAGATGGGAGGAGAAGGAAAGACGGAGAGAGAGCATCCGAGTCCGGGCCTTCATTGCAACCTGACTCAAGGCCCCACTGTGCACTTCCACCTGGCACATGACACTTTGAAAACTTTGAGAAATCTTTTTGCACTGAGATCCACTCGTGAAGACTTCCTGCGTTACCAAGCTCAACAGAAAAATGACCATTGGGGCAGTTTGAACGTCCCGACCTCTCACACTTGCACAACGATTTCTGCGACCGCTCCAGGAGACATCAGGAGACTGTGTTGACCAGCAAGACTGCCTGCAGCTATGGCACCGGGACCTGCTCTGATCGCTTCTTAGAAGCATCAGCGGTAGCACAACTGCGCTCGTGCGGTGACAGGCCCAACTCGGCGCGGCTGCATCAGCCTGGCTCTAAAAAGATGACTGCCCCTTGTCTGCCCTTGTCTTCAAGACGAGGCTTCACATTGTGAGACGGTTTTCGGCAAATTTCGGCCACCTAGGCCAAGCTTCAACAAACTGGCGCTGGAAGATCATCCGGCAGCAAAGGATAGCGTTTCTTGAACAGAGACTGAACTCGTGCTAGCCGTCGATCGCACCAGGCGCTGCTTTCTCGAAAGTTCCAGAACGATGTTCCAGTGCCCTTGTCGGTCGTAGGGTCATACTCTCTATTGCCCTTAGATTGCCACTTCCCAAAGTCCTCCAGGCCCTCGATCTCGTCGAGAAAGAGCTCGCCAGCAAAATCGGCGCTGTAAGTGCAACGTGGCGACTGGCTCAGGTCTTCGCACATTCCTCCACTGTAGGCTGCCATGCACTCACCATCCTGTCAAAGTCACTGAAGCTACAATGTTCATACTGGAATTCATATTGGAATCACAAGTTCTTTCGGGGAAGACCCCAAACAGAATGCAATCGGATCGGCTCAAATTGGGTGTTCCGTTCCAAGGAACACTGGAGGGAGTCCAGTTTTGGAACCTGTGGCCGCGGCCCACCCATTCAACCCTGGCCAAACTTATTCGGAGGAGAGGACCCCAAGCCGAGAATCACACCAAACAACAAACCAAAACCAACAAAAAAGGACAACCTGATACGCCCCGCCTTTTCCCCGACGCGAAGTGCGGGGCATGGACCAGGCAAGGAGTACCATACTCCGAATGGGTTGTTGGGAGACGTGTAAGAATACTTCAGATCTTTGCCGCGTGCCAGGCGCTGGCAGCCCACAGCAAAGCCGTAGTGGTCCCACAGTCGGTTGCAGCCTGGAACGCTACACCTTCCTAAATCAAAGGCCACGAAGGGCATGAACTTCAGGTCCTGCTCCTCCACTTCCTGCGATGGCCGTACCGTCACCAGCCAGCGGAGGATTCGCGTGATTCCATTCATTCTCACACCAGGCGTAGCGTTTGTCTTGACGATCTCATGGTGCAAGTAGTACATCAAACCGGCCAAGTCAGCCATGTCAACATTGCTCATCGGATAATTATGGTCACTCTGTGCTCTGTACATGTAGAAAAAGGTTTGCCCTGCATCTGCCAGGCATGTCTCCTCGTCAGGGTCCCATTTTGAACCTGCGGGGCAAGTGCATTTGCCCAGAACCTTCAGACGCGGCGATTTGCAGTCTTTAAGATGTGGATCTTTTGCAACGAGATGCTTCAACTTACTGTACGCTTTCATCACTGATCCGTATCCAAACTTGACATTCTCTCTTGCCTCCCGCTCTGCTTTCAGAGCATCTTCAGCACTCATTCTTGGGATTCGAGCATGTTTGGCATGCTCCTTGGCTGACGGCTCCGACGGCTCCTTGTGCTCCTCGTGGCTTCTGTGGCTCCTCAAAGGGACGGCGAGCGGCTCATCCGAGGCCACAGTGTATGGTTGGTATGGATCCGGCTCCAAAGGACGCGGGGTCGTGTGCAAACCAACTTGAACAGCCTCTGAGGCAGTGACCACCTCGCCATGCCCACGAGTCAACCGCCGATACGTCTGTAGAACGGCAGCCAACACCAGAACCAAAAGCACAAAGACCACGGCCGATAGAACTCGTTGGGAGCAGCTCTCGCGGGTTGACGACTTGCTCTCTGCCATGCCAGCTGCACACAGCAACCTCGCTGAAAGATGTGTGCCTGTTTCGGAATTGCACCTGCAGGCTGTGATGCCTAAAAAGTTGCTTACAAGATGCTTCATCACAAAACAACTCTTTGGCCAGCATGTCGCAGGCTGTCAAGGTTACACTGGACGCTCCAAGGCCAAGAGAAGCAGCGCAAGGACATACAAAATCAGATCTTTGCAACATCGCGGCCCAACATACTACCAAGGAGACAGCAAGCCTCGAGTGTGGCCTCGCGCTCTGGTAGCAGTGTGTAGAAATACTGAATGCCACCTCTCCACGAAGCACGGTGTACATGTTCAGGTTCTTCTGTATGGCTTGCTTCGGACACGGGCCAGGCAACTGAACGTGTGAAGGGCATCCACACCTGGCGGCAACGTCGCCACCCTGCTGCTGGACCTTCTGAGATTCTGGTGACAATTAACACAAAATCATCGGAACAGAGTCGCTGAGAATTCTGCATCGTCAGTGGCACGGGCACAGCTGCAGGCACGGTGGCCTCAAGCTTGTACTCCTTGGCACTTGAGCTTTTCACAGCCAGTGTCCAGGATTTTCCAGGCACAGGACACTATCCACAGGACACTATCCAGGACACGGACCGATCGCGCAGCGACACCTTTGACAGCCACAAAGTACACGCACTCCCCGTAGCCGAGGATCGTCTGCACAAAAAGGGTGTCTGTCTGCGTGTGCGTGTTCGTTCAGTGCGTTCCTTCATTTTCATTCATATGGATGGAGAAAGGGGATTACAAGAGCAGAGAGAGGTGTTGGGATGACTTCTGTAGGGGGGGGGGGGGGGCTTTTCCCGCACCTTTTCGGAGCAATGCATCTGGTTCAGCTCGCTGAAGGCATCGACGAAGATGGCATCGGAACCCAGGGACTCCGACCTCTGCAAAAGGAGAGCCCTCAGGAAAAAAGCATATATCAGTCATATGAGTAGCATCTTTTGAGAATGATTGGAGAGACTGCTGCAGCAGTCAAAGGCCCCCGCAATCCTTCTCGATACACTAGGAGACTATGTACCGTGAGACTACGCACTATGCTCTCCCCGCCGTCCCAAATGACATGGTTTGGGTGGACGTCACGCCACGAAGGGACAGGTCTCAGGCCCAAGGCGTTTGGGGGAACTGCACAACCCACCTCCTTGATCCCCTGGCAGCCGGATGCCAAAGTGTCCCCTTTCTTTGGTTCGGGGTGCCGGGTCGGCTCAGAGGTTGATCTGCCTGTCCAACCCCTTCTGGACCTGGATTCCTGCTACCCATCTTCCCGCTACAGGCCCGGATGGACCGATGAACCTATGGATAACCCAAGGACTGTCCCTCTATGGACCCCCTCGGCTTGACGGTCTAGGGCTACGGGTCTGAGATGGTCTGAGCACGACTCAGCCGAGCCGAAGGAATCATCTGTCAGTGTTGATATTCTCGGGGAAGATCGAAAAGGCACTCCCCAGCTTAAAGCTTTCCTAATGGCTTTGACAGGGCAAGGCCTCTCGGGGTTCATTGCTTCATTGGCCAGCCGGCGCGGTTTTGCACCCAGGGCATTAATGTGTCAACAGCCGACAATATCACTGCAAATAGAATCTGCGTATCGCAAGATGCCTCAACACGAAGCTTTCCGATGACACGTCTGGGATGATGTGAACCTGGGTTCGGCACGGTCGCTCAAGATGTGTAGTCGCACTGACTTGATTCCAAGCAGCGTAAAGGTCACAGTCGCCACTTTCGGCAGTAAGCTGCACGGACACGTGTTTGCCGGCCTAGGCTTCAGCTTGTCGGGCAAACCTTGCTCTGAAAGCTGTGTTTCTACTCTGCACTGTTCCACCTCCGCAATGGAAACACGGTACCTCCGATACCTTGAGGACACTGTCATGAGGAAAACATACAGTCAGAAGTCAGACAGTAGCCTAATCGAGTCTGATCTTGAGCTCTGGGCTCACCTGCTTGCACTTGTCCTCCTAGCGGCAGCCCTGTAGTCGGCAACTCCTGACTCGACACCACTACGCATGTAATGGTGTCACCATTCAGTTCCTTCTTCCCGGCCTCAATACCTCCGGTGTCAGCAGCAATCTCGAACTCCTTGCAGCTTGGCGTCAAGCCCATTGACACCGCAACTTGCCGGATCTATCTGGACTTGGCCAAGGGCTGTTTCCCTTTCTCCAGCAACCAAGAACATGTAGAAGTTCGACGCGGTCGGCGGAACGTACCTCATCGATTTTTTGCTGGCAACCTCCATAGCAACTTTCGAAAACAATTTTGAGAGCACGCCTGTTGGTCCTGCATATTCCTGCATGTGAAGTAACCACCAAGTTCCCATCAGGCTAAGTAACCACCAAGTTCCCACCAGGTGGCCATCTTAGACCTCCAGCTCGCCTCCAGTTGAAGACTTTCGTTGTGGTCGTTGCGTTCGTTCTTCTTTCCCGACATTTGCAAACCTTTCGGTTGACAAAGGCGCCTTTACTTCCCACAGCCTTATCAACCGTTCAGCGATGCAGCAGCTGCAGCGCTGGAAATTAAAATCAATGCCGGAGCGTTTGCTCCATTTGTGCTACTCGGACTGAGCATAGCCTGCCCTTTTGGTTCGGGTTGCGGGAAGACCACCACCCTGCCCGCCATGCATCCCACATGGCGAGGTGTAGCCCTCTGTTGCTCCAGTACGCTGAGTTGTGGAAAGGAGTGCGGTGGCTTTGGCCTCCAGATTTGGAGGATTTGTGGAGGTCTCCTTGCTGTCAGCATAAGAACATGTAGGGTTCGGGAGCTTCCTGTCGCCCTGCGCAGGACCTGCAATCGAGAACGATCTCGCTGGTGTTTCAGGAGGCACGTCACGCTGGGAATGCAAGGTGTGCAGTGAATCAGCGCGGCCGCTTCGTAGGTGTAGCTACGTGCAACGTGACACAGTGCCGAGTTTTGGGAGCCCGGAAAGTTTGCAGTCTGGGAGTGCCTTTGGCCTCCACAGGCTGTTGATGGTTTAAAAGTCCCCGCGCCGCAGTCTTCGTCCATTCCAAGCCCACTGGTCGACGTGAACCCGACGCTATCGACATCGCTGAAGCATCTCTGAAACTGCGCACTTCGCATCGGAGCGCGAGATGAAGATCTCCGATGAGTTCTTCTCAGCCTGCACAAACACTTCTGCAGGATCCCCTGAAGTCCACAATTCTGAACACTTCTGCTGCAGCTTTGAGATCGCAGCCATCTTCCAATCTGCCACTGCCTGCCCGACATACTCATTGAAAATACCGAAAACATACTGCAACATACTTGCACATGTCCAGGTAGAGTCGCTTCTGCGCAGTACAAATTTCAGACAAGGCACAGCTGGATTTTGAAGGAAAGTCCTCATGGTTTCTTTGACTTTGTCCTGCGATCCTGATCTGCCACGGACCACGGTGCACCATCGTCTAAGACTAGACTGCCCGCATTTGCACAGCACAGCACTTGCTACACACTTGCCTTTTGGCGGAGCCAGCACATACAGCGTACAATCTCCGCCTGCGGCACAAGATCCCCAGCAGCAAAAGAATGCAGTCGCCTGCCTGGCTTCAAGGCTCTATATAGGTGCACAAGCAGTTCTGGGAGCCGTGCTTGTAGATGTGATAGAGACCCGAATGTTTGGAGACTGCTCCACTGAAGCCTGGCAACATCTGTGATCTCATGTGCACCGTCCAGGAGAGGGACATGAAGAGACCCGGAGCTGCGGTATCGCGGCTGAGACTTCGGCTGGGACAAAGAAATAGATGTGATGCCTGAGGATCTTCTCAAAGGCTGGCCGCATGTGTGATTTGCCTCACACGCCGCGAGCTCTTCCCACCTATTGGGGGAGACGTTGCCGATCTCAACCTCAGGAAAACCGCCGAACTTTCTTACTTAAGATATCTACCTTGAACTTCTATATCGAACTTCCCAGTCCTGGCCTCCCCATCCTTCAGAAGGGCAACTCCCAGCTTCCTCAGCCCAGTATGCCGTTTGCCTAAATAGCCTCAACATGCTTAAACACTTCTGTCTAACCATTTGCGAAATCAGAAGCAGTAAGGGGCAGACTTTGCATCGCTGCCTGGCCTCCAGACTTGCTGTTGACGCCCCATCCGACGATCCCGATCTACAAATCTCATCTACCCCATGCGTGCCGGCAAACTGCAAAGAACGACATCGGACCTGAGAAGAGGCGTGTCCCATGCCACAGTGATGCGGAATTGCCTGGCATTGGATTGCTGCCATTGTAGCTGAATGCAAAGGGATCCCTTTCGAGAATTCTGCAGCGTTGGCTCGCTTCGGGCAGAGATCCAACTCACTGTGCATATGGGCTGACACACGGGACAAGCCACGCTGGAGCAGAATTCCATTCCCTTTGTCTCCGCCTCTTGCAGGTATCGCAAGTATGGATGCTATCGACACAAGTTGCGCAGGAAAGACGCATGCTGCAGCCCTGCTGCGCAAACCTGAGAAAAGCGCAATGAACGGACAAGGCAGAGCCTGTTGGAGCTCACAAACCACCCAAGCACCACACTCTGATGTAGTAGATTCCAGCCGCAGTTTGCATGGTGTCCGCGCTCAGCTTCAGCTGCCAAAAGTCTCGGCCTCATGTCGCGGACGCAGAAAACTTTTAGGCTTGTCCGAATGATGCTGAGGCAAGTGCCCGCTATCGATGTGTTGAAGAGCACCTCACCGTCCTGCAGAAACTAAGCAAGCTTGTATGCCTAGCCGTCTTGCTGACTGGGCAGCACCCTCAAAGCTCAAAACCTCTGCCGTCCTCTGAGCCTTTTCTTACATCGAACACCGGGTCGCCGTAGATCTCAGCTGCTCTTGGCTGAAGCGCAAGGTGCCGCGCACTCAAAGAAGCGTTTACCAGTCCCGGGAGCCCTGCGCGTGTCATGGAGATCTGCAAAGTTGCATCTCGACGCAAGTCGATGACAGACTGTACCAGGTCATAAGCCTGGTAAGCTGGCAGGTGAAGGAAGGCATTCATGATTTTCACGGAATTCCCT